CCCGGAGCTCACAGTATAGAGGTGTCACGTTTTACCGGCGAACTGGCCGATGGGAATCACATATATGGTAAACAAATTCATATAAATAAATGTATATATACATATATATTTTCTACTTTCAAGTATATTTCTTCTTAATTTAATTCTTTTTGTTGTTTCTTGTGTATAGGGATTGTGGGAAGCAAGTATATTTAGGTAAATAAATGATTCATTTATTTTTGGTTAAGGAGTGAATGATTTTGTTCATAATTCATAGATTTAGATTCTTTGCTGATAAGGGTATACTTGCTTGTTCTTTTTCTTTCTGTCAGGGGGATTTGACACTGCCCACGCTGCAGCCAGGTGAGAATTCTTTTCAATTTTCTTTTGTATGATAAGCAGTTGTATGTATCATAATTTTGTTTCGTTTAAAAATTTATTTATTTTTTCTAAATTTGGATCTTATTCAGAGCATATGATCGAGCTGCAATCAAGTTCCGGGGAGTTGATGCTGATATCAACTTCAGTTTAAGTGAGTATGAGGAAGACATGAAACAGGTAATTACATATATAGCAGAAGACTAATTATGTTACTCTTTATCTTTATTTTGTTGCCTTTGATTTTTGATTGTAATTGAATTGATCTGCAGATGAAGCAGATGAGTAAAGAAGAATTTGTGCACATTCTTCGTCGTCAAAGCACCGGATTCTCAAGGGGGAGCTCAAAGTACAGAGGTGTAACCTTGCATAAATGTGGTCGATGGGAAGCTCGGATGGGACAATACCTGGGAAAGAGGTGAGAATCTCTTTGACTGAGGCAGTGTTTCAATATGATCTTAGGATTAGATTTAGCCATGAAAGTTAAGTATACATATTATTGTCTGTCACTTGCATAATCCAGATTGGGATTTTAATTAAAAAACTTGTTGTCGTGTTGTGCTTCCTCTTAATGAATCAACATCTAAGAAGACAATCTAAAAGGGGAAAAAAAATTGTATAGGCTGTGAAGATTATGATCCTTGCTTGCAGGTATATTTATCTTGGATTATTCGACAGCGAAGCAGAAGCTGCAAGGTCTTTTGTGATCATAGTTTTATTTCTCTAAGACACTGATTTTGTATAAAATCAAAATGTAATTCAATATGGTTTAATCTAACTAAGATTTCACTTTTTCCATTTCGGAATGCAGGGCCTATGACATGGCTGCAATGAAATGTAATGGAAGGGAAGCTGTAACCAACTTTGACCCAAGCACTTATGAAGGGGAGATTACAAATAGTCTAGGAGGTACTTACAGATTCCAAGCCTGTTATTATTTAGTTCAAAACAAGTATCTGACCGATTGTTTTGGATAATGAATTTTCTTATTCGTTGAGTGCAGGCAATTCTCACAATCTTGATCTGAGCCTTGGGATTTCTGCCCCTTCTGTCGCCCAAAATGTGAGCAGCAATGCGGGGGATTTTCATTTTCAGCATGCTGCTTGTGCCACAGAGAGACCAGTGGTATAGTCTTGGTCTGCAGGCTATTAGAAAGTTGTTGACTAGGGATGTCAATCTTGATTGGGAAGCCAACATTTCCCAGCAGATTGGTTGGTTCCTTGAAACCTTGGATCTTAGACTCAATGTCTTTGAAGAACATCCAAATGCCATTAGGTCCCTCAATAATTAGTTTGTTGTGGTGGCCTTGCAGCCTTAGAGATTAGCTTGTTCCTTTGTGCTTTTGTTCCACCAACTGTAGCCTCCAGAAAGATGCCTTAACTTTAATCTGTCTCAGTCTGGCTTCCATTTCTGCAATCATCATCTTAACTATCCTTTTGTAGAGCCGTTTGACAGTTAATACTGATTTTCCCTTCTGTGTTTTTCACAGTTTGAGAGCTCTGCTCCTACATCTACTGGTGTGCAACCTCAACATGATCTAACAATAGGATCCAAGCACCCTCCCATATTGTCTGGTGTTTATCCTGGCCTATTACCAAACAATGAGGTATATTTTTCTTTCATTTCATTGGCTGTTTACATGTTGTTTCTACAATTTAAGACATGACAATAATTTGTGTTTCCATCAGGGTGGATACCCATGTCATTTTTGTCTGTAGAAAAATTTGCATGATAATACTTTCATATCCTTAGGGCATTTACTTTGAAGTGTGGACAGCCATGTTTCTGTCTCCTTTATTGATGCAAACCGCACACAATTAATATCTGAAGTGACGATTACACTTAACACATTGAAACTCTCAATTGGAAACATTTATCATGCTGTTTCACTACCTGATTTTGAAATTTTTTTTTTCAGCTAACACTTTTAAATTTTCCCCTAACAATGTTAAATACTTATCAGGGATACAGAATGTAATGATTGAAAGCTCTTATGGTGACAGGAAAGGGGTGCGGAGAAGAGGACTGAAGCTGTTTCCACGACAAGGTTTTCAAACTGGGCATGGCAAATGCAAGGCAATGGCAACATTACGGCAACCCCAGTGTTTCCTATTGCAGCATCATCAGGATTCTCTTCATCCAGTGCCACTGCATTATCAACTACTTTCCCTTTCAGCAATTCTGTCCAAAACGTCTGCCTTCTGACTCCGGCCACATCCACAAATAACAATTCTTATTACTACAGTTACAGGAGCTGAAATCAAACAAGACCTCGAACTGCAACAGTTCTTCATTATGCTCTTTAGAAAAACTAGGTGATCAAAAAAGAAGCTGTAAACAATTGGAATCGTCTGTAGAGTTTGCATCTGATACAAGTGTGTAATGGAATATCAAGCAATTCTTGTTACAATACTCAAGGGGCCTGCTTTCATAACATTTTTGTGTTAGTATAATCCTCTGCAGGACCTGGTGCAATTTCAAATCACTTGGTTCTTACCATCTAACACTGCAAACTATCAACATAGCCTCCCAGGGTTATCCTAGTTGGACCCGAATTCGTATCCAGATTCATCAGGGACTTGGGACTAGTAGCAGTTTAAGCATCCATGGTTCCAAAACAACAGCATTCAGCACAGTGACAGACATGTGGACGAAAATGATTGCTATAATGAAGCAAGCAAAGAACATTTGAGAAGAACCAAGAGGCAGTGCGCCCCCCTACTTTAAAAGGAAAACAAAATCTACAATTGACAGAAAACTGCTTAAATATAAGTAAATCATCCTCACGGCAGGAAATTTCCTCTCCAAGATTTGGTTTGTTTTTTCAACAGTTGCATTGGTCAACTTCAACCAGCTCAAGCTGCAACAGGGCATGTAGCATTGATGGTTGAGGTATCAATATCCATGCTACAATTGCCCCAATTAACTCAAAACAAAAAGAAGTTAGTTGAGATGCTGCAAGTTGCAGAAATGATATCTGGTCCCCCCACATTCAAAACCTTTGCTCCAAGCCCTATCATATTAATGACTCTACATTAACTTCAACCTACCCCCTAGTTGCACCCCACCACACCTCCAAAATCCCATCATACACTCCACATTCATTTCATGTATCTGGTTGGTACGTCAGTACATTACTCATTACTATTTTCTTTATTTTTTTTTGGTTTTTGTGGACCATCATGTCATTAGCATTTATTTAATCATGTGTAAATTGTGTGGAGAATGTACACAAAGTATTGAGGATGACGCTGAGGGGGAGCAGAAGGTGCTGTCAAATTACAATGGTGCTTGGTTTTTGATAGGCTTTGTCTTGTACTGAAATTGTTTCTGTGATCAGGGGTAGCTGGCAAATAGATAAGTGGCAATGACCTTCAAGGAGACCATCACCATGAATTTCCCCTCGTGGAATCATCAGCTGTCTGTCTGTTTGTTCGTCTATTCTATATATTTTTTTTATAAGGTTCAGCTCTTAGATATAAAAATGACAAAAAAAAAAAAAACCCCCCAAGAATGAGTGTTTTATTTCTTGCTAAAATTAGATTTCAACAACAGAAAACAAGTAAAAGTGTGTGAACCAAATTCAACTCAGCTGAAAATGTTAAAAGAGAGAAACCCATTAATCTGCTGCAACAACAAATGGGTTTTGATTTGAATCCTTTAAAATTTTCAATTTGAGTAATTCTTCTTATTTTAGTAAAATTTTTTCTATATTTAATATAGTAAAAAAATCAATTAAGTTTAAGAAAAATTCAATTCATTATAAATTTTGACTCTGAATTGATAAGTTTGAATTATTATTTAATTTAGATAATTGACATATCGAAGAAATAGAAAATAGATATTAAATTGAGATCGGATAAGGTGGATGAGTTCGATATTTTGCCACCTCTTAAAAAAATATCATTTTATATTGAATTCGAAAATAAAATCTAAAATTTGAGGATTATTTATAATTATTTTTTTAAATTAAAAGCCCACTAAGCTGATTGGACCTGAGTCCCATATTTCTTTCTAACCTTTACTCGGCTCAAAATTGCTTTTGGGCTTCCTCATGGGCTCACCGCATTGGACAAAAAAGAGTTTTTTTTTTCTGAAAATATTATTTTCCGCTCTTAATAATTAGAAAAACATTTTTTTATATTGTAAATTGTTTAAAAAAAATTAAAATACATGATTTTTCTCTCCTTCTGACAAGGAAAAACTATTTCCTTCTGGTATTAAGAGGGATATCAAGGAGTATTTTTTAATAAAATATATTACATTATTTAACTCAATTAATTAAAATTAAAGTGTTATATATAAATAAGATTCGGAGAAAGTTTGGACAGTAATGTCCTTATTTGAGTTGGATTATTAATAATGATTTTTGATATAAAATTTTAATATTATATATATTATTTTTTTGTTATAAAGTCTTTATAATTAATATAGTAGTTAAGGAAAATTAGGCATCTAAAAAGTAACGGGTTGACATCTTAATTATTTTTGTAAACTTGTTATTTTTCATTATTAAACCTGTTTTCTTTTTTTTAAAATAAAAAATATATAAACGAACCTAGAAAATGAAGAGAAAAAAAATGCAAATAAATAGAAAATGATTTTTGTCTTTTAAAAAAATATATTGTTTATAAAGTAAAACATCCATGAAATGGCGAAACCAGGGGACCTGCTTGTTCGTCCGAGGACGAAAAAGAGAAATGTGGCGTTCCATTCGCCAACTCCCTTCCTTCTCTGTCCGTACAGCCCGCACCCAAACACTGCCTTCCCGTTCCTTCCTCTCTTTCTCTTCTCCTCTCCCTAAACCCCAATCCTCCTCCTCCTCCTACTTCTTTACTCCCGGTAAAACCCTACCCGCCACCGCCACGTCATCGCGCACCACCATCATCTTATGGACCTTCAACGGCGGCGGAGGCGGCGGAAACGCCACCCGGGGTGTGCCTGCCAGGTGCATTTCCTCGATTCCGACGCCGCTGCCGGAAACGATGGTTGATTGGAACGACGCTGTTTCCTGCTCGGAGGTCGGTTATGGCGGGGACAACGACAATGGTAGAACTTTGGAAGAAGACACTAAACGTTCTATCCCAGTTCGAGCTTATTTTTTCTCCACCAGGTTTTTATTGGTTCATTTTATTTTTCTTGCAATTTTAAATAATTATTGGATTTTCTTAATTGAAAATAATTAGAATCAATTTGTTCTCAAACGCTGTTGTTCTTTTATTGATGTTGTTGTTTATCGGAGTAACTATTTGAACTTTTAAACTCGGATGCTTAAACCCTAAACCCTGAATTTATTCACTTATTTATCTACTTAGAATTAATTAATTAATTAATTAACTTCTGTTTTGGGTGTAGTGTGGATTTGAGACGATTGGTGGAGCAAAACAAGCAGAATTTTATACCACCTACGTCACGAATGACTAATTATGTAGTTCTTAAGTTTGGCAATCTTGCTAGTTCCCCTGTAAGTTAATTCTAACCTTGTTTGAGAATTTGGTTTTGTTTATAACTTGATGCTAAGAAAGATCAATTTTATATTTTCTAACTAATTATGTTGTATGAATGCCGTCTAATCAGTGGTGGCATTTTGTTTCTTATGTCATATTTAATCATTTAATTTCATGCAGCGTAACTGTCATAATTTGATTCATGAAATGCCTCTAGAAATGTTTTCTTTCTTGTAGCGCTGACATATTTGGTGTTTCAGTGAGTGAAAACTGAAAAGCTTTCAGTTGTTGGCAGTCCAAACCGAAAGTTTGTTAACGCCATATCTCTTAACTATTAAACATTGCAAAAAATGAGGATCATGAAACTTCCATGGCTCTTCCAGTGTGCAAAACTTATTAATGCATGAATTAATTTAAGGGATAAAAAAGAGGCCATGCTTGCCACTTTGCCAGAATCCTGATTTATTTTTAAGCTGTACCGTGGTTAATCTGTATTCAGCAGGTTTGCTCTCTCCCTCTCTTTGGCATCCGGTTCAATGGATATAAATATCACTAAGCCTTTTGTGTTTTGTTTAAAGCTTAAATTACTAATTGTCAAGTGGAGGAACGAATACAAGAATATATGGTTTGCGTCATATAAACAGTTGTCTGTCATGATGATTCTGGATTAATTCAGAACAGATTTAAATTGGGAATGAAAAATTTGTGTACAAATGTGAGATGCTTCCATCATTGGTATGAAGCATTGCCACACCTTTTGTCTTTGCTAAGTTTTTTAGAAGCAAACCAATAGTTTTTTATTCAAACCATGCACGTCTTCTCCTATCTTAGATTTTTTTGAATTCTCTAAAGATGAAAATCAACTAAAATATATTGTTGATGGATATGTTCCTTGTTTCAGGGTCCTAGTGCTTTCATAAGTGGAAGTGACTGCTGTTTCATGGTCGTATTCCAGTATGGGTCCATTGTGTTATTTAATGTTCATGAACATGAAGTGGATGAATATCTGAAAATTGTTAAAAAGCATGCATCAGGATTGCTTCCAGAAATGAGAAAGGATGGTGAGTTCTTTTGTCCCTATTGAATTTATCTTTTAAATCACTATTTTATGCTCCTTATCTAGACTTGCCATGAGTAGAGATCTAACATTTAGAGACTGTAAAGTTGGGACTAACATGATTTTATTAATACAAAAATAAATAATGGGCTCATGCACTTAAATTCTGTAATAGTGCACAAATTCCCTTCATCATCCATCTTGTCAAGATCATCGGCGCAATCTTGTCAAGAGAAGAGTACTTAATAATGCTCAAAACAAAAATATTTAACACCTTGAAGATAGACTTTATGGACCAAATGCCATTTTATCCTTTCTTTCTCCTGTTTCGTAAAAGGGTTCTGTTTACCTCTTTCTTCCTATTCTTTCTCTTTCTTTTGCTAGCCCTTTTTGTTACTTGTTATGTTGTTGTGAACAAGGAAGAAGGTTCTTCCTAAGAAGGATTGCCTTAAAGCAATGGAAAACCATGGCTTAATTATCTTTTGTCATTGTCCTTTCTCTCTCTCTCTCTCTCTCTCTCTTTCTCTTTTTCCATTCATAGGATTTCTTGCGAATTGTTTTCTCTCCTTCTTACGCATGTGCACGCTTGCTCTCATTAACTTACATTATGGTTTCTCATATCCTCTGTATATTGACACACACTACATATACAGGCTTGTGAAATAGGGTTTGGTGGGAAGTGAGGGGATTGAGATAGCTTGGGTATCAACTTGATATTTTCCTCTCATTTCAATGGGTTTCTTCTACGTATTGGTTTCATTCATTTTTGACTAGACCTTTGTTTTTAAAGCATATTCTGCTTGATCATTCTTCTGCGCTATGCCCTGTTATTAAAGATTAGATCTGTTGCTTTCCTAAGGAACAGGGAAGCACGCAAGGTACTGCATCATTGGAGTTTTTGTTTTATTTGGGGTTGATATGTTATGATTTTGCAGAGTATGAGGTAAGAGAGAAGCCAAGTTTAAACACATGGATGCAAGGTGGATTAGATTACATTATGTTGCAGTTCTTGAATATTGATGGAATCCGTACCATTGGAAGTGTTCTTGGTCAAAGTATTGCTCTTGACTACTATGTCCGCCAGGTGTGTAGCATTTGATCTCCAATGTCTATTTTCTGAACATTTAAGTTGATAATGATGCTCGAAACTTTTTCTATATATCTTAGGTTGATGGAATGGTTGGGGAATTTACGGACATTAACCGTGGGATGGAAAAGACGGGAACATTTACTATGGACAGCAAAAAACTTTTTCAGATAGTGGGAAAGGCAAATTCTAATCTTGCTGATGTGATTCTTAAGCTTGGACTTTTTGAGAGGTAACTTCTTACAGCCCATTCTGAAGGTAATTGGCACATAGTATATGTCACGACCTTGGAATTTTGTGTAACTATTATTTCCAAAATTAATTTGTGATAATCTATTAATTTCACTGTATCTTTTTTTTATTGGTCTCATAATGGGATAGAAACACCAATAGGCATGTCTCCTTTGTAGCGTATGCAATTTAGCTCATGCAATTTTTCTTGGTTTTAACAGATCGGATATTGCCTGGAAAGATGCCAAATATGCTCAAATATGGGAATTTTTACGAGACGAATTTGAATTAACTCAAAGATTCGCAAGTCTTGATTTCAAGTTAAAGTTTGTGGAGGTATGGTGTTTGCTCTCCTAGAAATGTGCATTTATAAAATGGGCAATACATGGCACAGACTTGCATATGTACAACTCAGATATGTTAGAACTGTAGAAATATTGGAAATTACTTCTCTGCTGACATGTGACATCCTTTTCTGCCTTTTCAGCACAACATTCGCTTTCTTCAAGAAATTCTTCAAAATAGGAAATCAGATTTTCTGGAGTGGCTCATCATTGTGTTGATAAGTGGTGAAATTGTTATATCTCTTTATGACCTTATTAAGAGGTCGCTATGACGCTTGTACAGAGGTTAGCAAATTTTCACATCGACACTAGTTGCGATGCATAAAGTCATAGTCAAACAATTTTTTATCAAAGGTTGTTGTTGCTGTACATTTATTTTCTTGTTAGCTTTGCTGTTACGAATAGATTTGCTACATTGGTACACTTAGTTTTGTTGTAAATGATATGGATTCATACAAATTGAAAAAGTTTACTGTCAGCATGAATGTTAGAACTTAAATATCAACATCAAAATTCAAGGAAAAATATACCTAGTGAAGAAGTCTGTTACTTAATTCTCTACAATGGGGTACCTTTTAATTAGAGAATGTTAAGAAAATCGTTTTATCATTTGTTGGCACTGATTTGTTCTTAGTATTATTGTCTTCCGAGCTATCAATGCACATAATGTGTATGAGGTTTAACAATTCTTCCATTTAGGATCAAATCCATGGAAAACACCTGAATCGTCGGCATTCGAATCAGGTCTAAAATTTTGCTGATTTCCTATACTCTGGTCACCAAATTCATTAACCCTAGAATTCTATAACCTTAAAACAAGGAATACTCTCCTAATCAATGGACCCCAAAACCTTAATGGCTCCAAATTTTGTTCAACTCCATCTTCAGCTGCCATTGAAATAATCGCCAATGCTTGTTGCATTTTATAATCAAAGGTTCTAACACAAACATCCTGAAAAAGTTGAACAATTCCATGAATAACATGGAGATAAATATCATGAAAGAAACGAAGAGAAACCTCATCTTTTTTAATTTCATTCGAAGCAAAATAATGAGGTAGTTGGCATCTTCAAAATGACTGAAAGGTAACTCATAATTCTTTATACATTTCAGGCACTAGACAGCCTTAACAACCAATGCATTGAGGGTTGGATGTTGAATACCAAGTTTGCCAGCAGGGCTGCTGCCATGTTCGAGCCGAAGATGCAGAGCAATGACGTGCATGGGCTTGCTTGGATCATGTCTGAGGTTCTATACAAGCTTAGCGAAGATGGTTCGGTTGTGGTGTGGAACCAGCTTGATTTCTTGGGAAATCGTTGGATTTCCCAAAGAAGAACAAATAGTAGAAGCCACCGTTGTGTTTGGAAGGAAATAGAGAAATTTGGGTTGTTATCAAAAGTTGGTTTTATGGGTTTTATAGAAGGGATTGCTATTGAAGAATGTTCGACGAAGAATGTTTGACGAAGAGAGGCGAATTTTGAAAAGATATCATACTTGCAATAAAAAGAAAGTTTGAAAAGACTTCAAAATATTAATAAAGAAATTCTTTCAAATTTTTCATTTTCTACAAACATCAAAATGGTGTCTTCTTCAAAATTCACAACTCATCATCGAGCTTTTCAATGACAATCTTTTCTAAAAAACCCGAATCCAACTTTTGAAAACAACCCAAATTTCTACAATGCCTTCCAAACTCAATGGCGGCATCTACCTCTTCTTTGAGGAATCCAACGATTTCTCAAGAAGAAATCAAGCTGTTTCATACCACGATGGAACTATCTTTGCCAGGCTTGTTTATAAAGAACTACCATAATCTTCTGGCAAATTCTGTTCAACTCCATCTTCAGCAGCCATTGAATTAATACCCAATGCTTGTTGCATTATATCATTAAAGGTTGTTCAACTCCATCTTCAGCAGTCATTGAATTAATAGTTGCATCAAATCATTAAAGGTTCTAACACAAACACCCTGAACCACGAATAATATGGAGAGGAGGATTATCAAGAAAGAAATGAAGAGAAACCCCATTTTTTGGTCTGTTTTCGAATTTAAGGAATTAGATAGTTGGCGTCTTGGAGATGAGAGAAAGGGAACTCGTAACCCTTTATATAATTCAAGCACTAGACAGCCTCATCAGCTAATGCATTGATAAGGGGATTAGTCTAGGGTTGGATGTCGAAAACCAAGTTTCCAGTAGCCATGTTCGAGCCAAAGGAGTAAAGCCATGATGTCATGACGTGCATGGACTCGCCTGGATCACGTTTGAGGTTCAGAACAAGCCTGGCGAAGATGGTTTGGTTGTGAACAATTTAATTTCTTCTTGGAAAATCGTTGGATTCCCCAAAGAATAAGAAGAAGCTGCCATTGCATTTGGAAGGAGATGGGGAAATTTGGGTTGTCATCGAAAGTTGGTTTTAGCCTTTTAGGGGTCTTTGGAAAGGAATGCCATTGAAGAAGGTTCGATGATGAGTGGTGAACCTTGAAAAGGCACTCGTGTGAACTATGCGATACACTAATGCTCAAGTTATATAACTTTTGGAATGTTTTCTTGAACACTTTCCTTTATTTATTTTGTATTAATTTTTGGAGTATTCTTTTAAATAATTCTGTCATTTATTTTGCATGTGAAAGTTAATTTAATGATAATAACTTTTGATATTCTAAAAGTTTTGACTCTCTTTCCAGATTAGAATTTGAAATTTTCGAATTAAAAAGTTTAAACTAGCACCTATTATAGTGTTTTTTTAGATTGAAATTAAACATCAATCATCTTTCATCTCAATCTTTTAGTGTTTAATTACTTAAGTTATCAAATTTACCCTTTTTTTTTCTTAATTTCTTTTGCACGTTTGAAAGGGTGATTGGAATGGCAACGAAGTTTGTGGCAGATAACACTTTTTAAAATGGAAAATGGCAAAAATTATCTTACTTTGTGTATGGATCATCTATTAATAAACACCCAATGTTATGCGGCTCAAATCTGGAGGACTTTCGGCCATGCTCATCAAATCCTGGTTGATCAAGTCATCTTCCAACATTTTTATCCTATTTCATAGATGGAATATTAGTCCTGCTTACATCACTAGGAACTAGGATGCTGCCTGTTTGTGAGGTTGAGGCAGAGTAATCTTGATCATCCATTGAGGCAGGGTTCATGGGTCATGAAATCGTATCACATGCTAAGTTTCACTGAAAAGGATACCATCGATGCCATCAAATCAGAGAATTTGATAGGTAAAGGAGGATCCGGAAATGGCTATAAAGTTGAATGGGAAGATGGTAAAGAACTGGCTGTGAAGCATATTTGGATCTCAGATTCTGGCAACCGTAGAAGCTCCCAAGGCACTGTGGTTATGCTAACAGAAAAGAACTTCTGGTCACTGGAATATGATGCTGAGGTGGCCGCATTGAGTGCCATTAGGCATGTGAATGTGGTGAAGCTGTACTGTGGCATCACAAGTGAGGATAGCAATCTGCTGGTTTACGAGTAGTTGTCAAATGGGAGCTTGTGGGACATGCTGCACTCATGTCACAAGATAGAGATGAGCTGGAAGCTAAGATATGCCATTGCAGTAGGGGCAGCTAGAGGGTTAGAGTATTTTCACCATGGATAATGGATATGACAGGCATGTTATACACCGCGACCTGAAGTCAAACAATATTTTGTAAGATGAAGAGTGGAAACCAAGGATTGCTGATTTTGGACTTGCAAAGATTGTGCAGAATGGTAGTGAAGGGGATTGGACTCATGTTGTAGCTGGAACTCATGGCTACATGGCTCCTGAGTCTGAACACACATACAAGATAAACGAAAGGAGTGATGTTTACAGCTCCGGAGTCGTTTTGATGGAGTTAGTCACAGGAAAAAGGCCGGTAGAGCCAGAATTTGCAGAGAACAAGGACATAGGCACTGGGTCTATAACAAACTGAAGAGCAAAGAAAATTTGATGGATGTGGTGGACTCTAAATCTCAGAGGCTCTAAAGGAAGATGCCATCAAAGTCTTACGGGTTGCAGTTTTCTGCACAACAAAGTTTCTGCACTTAGACCTAGCATGAGAACGATAGTTCAAATACCGGACGAGGCTGAACCTTGTAAACTTTCTGATATCATTGTTCATAAAAATGGTGAAAATAGACCCAATGGGAGTTGGAAGAACCGTGGCAAGTTAATCTGAGCCTTTGAACTCATCATCCAGTAATGGTTGAAGGTTGATTTTCCATGAAGGCAAGGAATTTGAAACCCTGGGTAACCAATAAGCATTAGGAAGACTTTTTCTTTTTTCTTAGCTCATAGAAGAAAGCAAACTTACATTCAACTGTAGCCTCCGGGGAGCGAGAATTCAAATTTAATGTCGATGGTTCCACTGGAGGTAAACCTAGATAGGCAGGATGTGGTGGACTGCTTTTGTGGGCCTTTAGGCATCTAGGATTCGAACTATGCAGAGATTATAGCAATCTTGCATAGTCTTAGATTTTTTCGATCCTCTCTTTTTATAGGAATTAATTTAATTGTTGAATCTGATTCTATGGTGGGTTTATCTTGAGTGAACAATATTGACCAGAGGTCATGGGATAAACAGTCCATTTTCAATAAGATTGATATTTTCAAGCAGATGATTAGTATGGTCACATCTGTGCATACTTTGATAGAGGCCAACTTCTTCACAGATCATTTAACGAAATCTGGTGTGAATAAGGTATTTATGTTTTCGGCCTAGTGGTGATGCTATGTATGTTTATGCTTCTTTTATGTATAAGCGTTGGTGTGCTAAAACGAAATCTTATACAACAGTGTATGGCAGTCCAACTACTTTGGAGGTACTGTCCTCTACCCATGGATACTATTTTTGAATAATTATTAATAAAATTCTTATGATTGCTTGAGAAAAAAAAAATTGTCTGCTGAAGCAGATTCTGTAGTTAGCAATAGCAGATGAGAAATATGATATGTAGGTGTCTTTTCTTCCTTTGTATTATAGTGGCATCAATTTTCTAAGTTAGTGAAACATTTCAATTTGGTCAACTTTAGGTAAGATTTTGTATATATTCTTGTCCTCAATTAGCCAATAAAAAATTGAATCGACTTGACAATTCAAATTGATTTGGATACATACATTAAACCAATAATTTTAAACACATTTCTTAGCTATATATATATATATATACACACACACACACACACAATAAGCACTAGAAAAATATCATATGCTTGGTCATGACAAACGCATTTCTAAGTTATGCTCTTTCCATCAAAAATATATACCAAGCACTAGAAAAATATCTTATGCTTGGTCATGATAAAGCACTAAGTATGGTCAACATTGGGGGTATTATCTCATTCATAAGTAAGCGATAGAGCTAGCCAGTGGAAGTATTAGGGACACTGAGAGGTATACTTGCATATATACTCAGCCAAAATTCCATAACTTCTTCGTTTCCTTAAAGAGAGAAATATGGTACCCTCAGAGTTAGAACAAACAGAAGGAAGCAATCTCTCTAGCCAAAGCACTACTCCTAATGAAGATGGAAAAACGACTATGGATAACAAGGGAGGAGGATGGATAACTTTCCCCTTTATTATAGGTACCACTTTTGGTTTAATCAAATTTTTCTTTTCAATCTCTCGAATTATTTGATATTTTTTTAATTTATCTGTATAAGTGGATTTTATTTTAAACTTGTTTCGAGTTAATTTAACTAGTAAATAAATAGACTGATTCCTCGTGTTAATAACTCGGATTTTGAATCTTAAAACTTCTTTTTATGCTTAAAAATAGAATCAAATTTAACCCATGTGAGTGCTTTAAGCATATGCAGGAAGTATGACAGGGCTTTCCCTAGCAGCCGGTGGATGGGGAGCAAATTTGATAGTATTTCTGATAAATGAATTCCATGTGAAGAGCATCACTGCAACTCAGATCAATAATGTTATAGTTGGCTGCAACTATCTCTTTCCCATTGCCGGAGCCATAGTTGCCGACACCTTCTTTGACTCTTACACGGTCATCACCACGTTTGCCTTTGTCTCCTTGTTGGTAATAGTAGTTAAATATCGCACTTATTAAACAACTATTTAATTAATATTTATGAAATAAATGAATCTTAATTAACATCTTTTTATTTCTTCTAATGCTTTTCATGATTGGTGTTGGTAGGTAAGAAATCCTGTTAGATGGTGGGATTTTCCTGTTGTTTATGGATATTTGGTGTGGTTCAATAGGATAATTTGTCACATAGTTAGATTTTTTTTTTTGTAAATGGTGGAATTTGTTTTTGAAAAAATAATTTATTTCATAATGATAATTTTCGGATTAAACATGTTAATTAACTAACTTCAAAATATATAATAATAAATTACAATATTCTACCAATGTGAGGAATGAATATAATAAAAAGTTTGTGGGTTCGATGTAATTTTATATTGAAAATTTTCAATTATATGTTGGTTAATTGATTGATTTATTTATTAATTTTTTTATATAAAGAGTAAT